CCCCAAAACCCCAAAACCCCAAAACCCCAAAACCCCAAAACCCCTGGGAAAATCCATATAGTTGAGTTATAAAATATTTGGATTTTTAATGGAAGCAGGAGAAATCAACTTGGAATCTCTAGCACAGCTGATCGAGAGCTCAACTACAGAGATTGATAATGACAGAAGGAAAGAACTGAGTGCCCAACTAACTGAGACTGAAGGAAAATACCAATTTGAGACTTACTCTAAGGCAATCCTTGACTTACTATCACATGAGAGTTTGATGGAAAATCAAATTCTTCACTTGAGAATCTGTACTTATGCGAAAGAGTACTTTAAATAGAAAGTATATCTCTTTCGAAGTAACTGAAGAACAACTGATGGCAATTCTTAAGATCTTGATTCCTATTATGATGCATGAGAGAATCTGTCTTCAGAACAAGAATTTTCTGTATGAAATTTGACAAGTCTCTTTCCATTTCTTATCAATTGTGGTATCTAAGAGAAAAAGAGAGAATGCTATTGACGGAACAGAAGATGATTTCAGCATCTCACAGGCTTTTGCTGAAAATATACTCAGTCTCTTGAGTGAGTCCAGGACCAGTAAGAATGCATCAATCGGTGCAATTTTAGTCTGAAAGAGCTATCTTGCCGCTTTGCATCACGATAAGATGCTGACTGAGCTCAACAGGCTCTTTTTGCCCCAGTTGATAGCTACCAATAATGAGATCATGGGCGAAATCCTGAAGGTTATCCAAGATATGAATGAACAAGATTACGCAGACGGAAACGAGCAGATGGAAAATGTAATCAACTGTTATGAAGTTGAGATCACCTTCATCGGACTTATTCATAATGTTATCAAAGATTGCATGTTGCATAAAGGAAAGGGATGAGAGATCTTCATACTACATACAGGAATGGCTAACCTCCTCTTTCAGATCATTGGTGTAGTGGGGACTAAAGAAAGTCAGTGACCACAAGTTTTAATCAGCAATTTGAACATTCCAAGACTGGACGATCTAATCAATAAGACCAAGATGGTTGCCTTAAATATTTTGAACTATCTTCTGAAGATGTGTCTAAAATTAGGATGTGAGGCAAGGCTAATGGGAAATAACCTCGTTTATATGCAGTATATGATCCTTACCTGACAATGGGCAGCTAGTCAAGAGAATTGGTTTGAAAATTTAGACTCAGATGAGAATGTTAGAGGGATAACAATTGCTCTACTTGAAAACATTGCAATTTCATCAAAATCTAAATTCTACGCAGATCTTTTGGCCAGAACGAGAGGTAAAATGATAGCAGAAGTTCTGATTGTCTTTCTCAGTACTCCTGATAAGGAAAAAGATGATGCCCAAGATAATCCGGGAGAGTTCCTTCATTTGGCAATTGATGTCTGCGATAAGCAAGAATCTCAGACTGTGAAGTCTCAGGCTGCTAAATGATTGGAAGCCATATGTTCCAAAGTTGATGGATGAGTTTCCTTCACTTCGATGTTTTGCATTCAAGCTATTGACTGATATATTAACGGCAATCATTTAGAGCAGGAAAATCGGATGCATTACTTAATTTTGCATGAATTTTATGACAAAGATTTCCTATCTAAGAATTCAGAAGATGTGATTATAGAAGCCTGCCTTTCTAGCTTGTCTATCATTTCCCATCTACTTGCTCCTAGAAAGGATGTCTTATTCTCATTAGACAGCATGCTGAAAAGGAATCTGGATCAGCTTACTCAAGGTCCTATGCTCGTACAAGCAAGACTCGCTCTATTTTATGGATATTTCACTGATATTTTATTCAAGGACGATATTGAGAAGTTCAACCAGAGTATTAAGTTCCTATTTGAGGCTATCAACTATTCAGAGTCTATGATAGCCGTAGGCTACCAGGCCTGTGAAACTTTGACAACCCTCATAGGAGATAAGAATGTGATTCCCAAGATCGGCCCACTGGTAAGTTTATCGCATAAATCAGTATAGTTTGAAGATATTTGTAATCTTTTGGTTGGATATGTGGAGACAAACAGAATTCCTCTGTTCTTCAATTTCATGAATGAGTTTGTGTCCATATTCAAGCCGTCACTCAAAGAGAAAATCATTGACTTTGTCAGAGTTTTTGCCAATAGGATCAAGGTCGAGCAGGAAAGTTTAGAAGGCACCAACGAGAAGACTAATCATGTGATTAACCAATCCTGCAATGTGGTCAGGACTATTTGTGAAGGAAAAGAATACATTGAACAGTTTGGTGAACAAATAGACCAAGAGCTTATGGTGTTATACAACTTTATGGATCAGCCTGAGAAGATCGATTTTGATGACGACATTGCACTCTGCATCTCTACTGCTATAAATATCAATAAGAAAATTACTGATATCCAAAAGCAAGTATTCTTTGCCTTTGACAAAGTTCATAGCAAGTACAAAGGAATTTTTGGAAATTTAGTTGTTTCCATTAATAGCTTCATTGTTTATAACGATGGGTGGTTTGCGGAGAATCCAGATGCAGTGAAAGACCTTGTCTCAATGGCTACCAGAGGTCTTTACTATGGAGAACCAATTAATGGAATTTATACTCCTTGCGATGGAGCTATTGTATTCCAACTTTGACTGCAGTACTTTAAAAGCCCTACCTTTGATGACTACTTTGCGGATGCACTTTCCAACACTCTCGAAATTATGAAGAAGTTCAAAGAGTCTGAAAATCTGAAAATAGTGTTTCTGGGGACTTTCTTGTCAGCATTCATTTACAGCCCTGAAGCAACATTGAAATATCTCGATTCAGAAGATATTATAGAGGCTATTTTTGAAGAACTCTTCGTAAATGACTCCAAGATGTTTCATCGATACCAGAAGAAGCTATACTTGTTTGGGTTAGGGCAAATGCTGTTCTCTGAATATCTCCCTGATTTTATCAGTCAAAACTTTGCAAAAATATTATCCAAGATGATTCTGATGCTCGGAAGGCTGAATCTTGCTGAGAAATTTGATGCTAAGAAGAAGAATTTCATTAAAAATGATATAGATGAAGACCATCCTACAAGAAAAGAGAATCTTCGTTCTCAAGAAAATACAAAGACCCAAGAAAACGAGGAGGAAGATGAGGAGATTATTGAGAATGAACTTAAAGGTATCAATGATTATTATGAAGCTATCTCCTCAGGGTCCTTGCTAAATACTCCTGTTGATAATCAGAACCCTCCTTTTGTTATCCACAAAGTTGAAAACAATGGGGATGGAGGGTGCTGAAATCATGAAAATGATAACCATCACAACCATGATCACGAGCATGATCATAATCATGATGACGATCTCAACGATTCTTGCTGAGGAGAACTTGATGAGTATGACATTCTTGATCGAGAATACGAAGAAAGAGAAGAGTTAGAAATGGAATACGATCTTATTAAAACCAAAATCAGAGACATGGACGAAAACGACTACTTTAGGACAGTAATCTTCAAGTTATACAAAATAAGCCCTGAACAATTCAGCAACATCATGAGTCAGCTATCGCCAAAACAAAACGAGTTCCTCAAAAGCCTGCTCCAGACCCAAACACTGCACATGAAGATCAATGGGGTCGAGACACCAGTGCACAGGAAGATCCTTAAGGCCAAAAGAAGACGCTAACCATAATTAACCATAATTCAATTGCCCACTCATGACACGGGGTTTTGGGGTTTTGGGGTTTTGGGGTTTTGGGG